TCTCTCTCTCTCTCTCACCAGTCTGGATTCGGGCCCCATGCACCATGACCCCTCAGGTCCTAGCTGACTATGTCCCTCTCTCTCTGTGACAAGTCTGGACTCATGTCTCATGCACCATGAGCCTTCAGGTCCTGGTAACCCCATCCCCATCTCTTTCTGTGACCAGTCTAGATTCACACCCCATGTACTGTGACCTCTCTGGTGCAAGTCACCCTGTCCCTTTCTCTCTGTGAGTATTTTGGACTTATGCCTCATGCACCATGACCTCTCAGGTCCTAGGTGACCCTGTCCCCCTCTCTCTGTGACTGGTCTGGACTCACACCCCACGCACTGTGACCTCTTGGGTTCGAGCCCCCCCTTTCTCTCTCTCTCTCTGTCTCTCTCTCTCTGTGTCTCTCTGTCTCTCTCTCTGTCTTTCTCTCTGTCTCTGTCTCTCTCTCTGTCTCTGTCTCTCTTCTCTCTCTGTCTCTCTGTCTGTCTCTGTCTCTGTCTGTCTCTGTCTCTCTGTCTGTCTCTCTCTCTCCCTCTCCCTCTCCTTCTCCCTTTCTCCCTGTGTCTCTCTCTGACCAGTCTGGACTCACGCCCCAAGTACTGTGACCCCTCGTGTCCTAGTCACCCTGTCCCCATCTCTTTCTCTCTCTCCCTGTGGACAGGTCCTGTTCACGGCCTGCAGACTGAAGGTTTTTGATCTCCTGAAGGATGGGGTGGTCCTGCCAGCCGTGGACATCGCCCGCCACGTGGATACCTCTGAGGAGGGCACCGAGTGGCTGCTGGACAAGTGCACTGAGCTGAGGCTGCTGGACAGGACGGAGCAAGGTGCGGGGACACCTGAGATTTGCCACCACGGGTGGGAGATCGGGGGGCTCTTCTCTCTGCCCACTCCAGTCCTGAAGGAGAGACAGTTTGTAGACAAAGGTGCAGACAATGAGCAGAGATGGCCCCCTTCCTGATACAAGGGTGATCTCTATGGAAACCAGAAAAAAACCCCCACCCAATTGACAATCATAAACAATTAGGGATGCCATCAGCACAGGTGAGAACATCTGTGTGGTGTTGGTGTTGGTGTTTGGAGTCCTTGAGTCCACTGGGACTCCCAGCAATCCTCTGCTTCGCGTACGGAGAGAGGGAGAATGTCCGTTCCTCTCAGGTTACACCAACTCGGAGGCCGCGACCCTCTTCCTGACCTCCCAGAGCCCCAGCTGCCTGCATAGCCTCATTGCTCTCTGCAGTGACCACGTCTGGGACCGTTTCACTCGCCTGGAGGCCGCCGTCCGAGAGGGCTCCGACCAGCTCTGCCGGGTGTCGGCAAGCTATGCTGACCTCCTCTTCCAGGTAAAGGTACCAGCACATGGGGGATACCCCAGGACATGGGTGATAGCCCACATGTGGCTATGCAGAATGCAGTGCAGGTGCGGAGGGAAGCCTGGCACAGGGGGGGACACATCCAGCTGCTCACCACAAGGTCAGGGGTTTGAAGCCAGCAGCCGCTCCTGAGGGAGAAAGCGGAGGCCGTTTGCTTCTGGAAAGATTCAAACCCTCAGAAACCCAGCAGCTCTGCTCTGTCCTGGGAGTCAGAATAAACTCAGTGGCTGATTTAGGTTTGGGGCTTGCAAATGTCTGTGAACATTGGCGATGAAGATGGTTAAGCACTGGACTACTATACCCAAAGATTCTGTGAGAGGGGATACAGGTGAAGGCACCCCCAGGCTACCCCCTGGAGCGACACCGGTTGGGGACCTTGGGGAGCCCTTTCCACCCCTTTGTAAGTGCCCATCACATTGCAGGACCCCTTCTGCAGGAGCAAAGAGGAGCAGCTCCAGTGTCTCCGTGCCCTGAATGATTTCACCCAGCCGAGCGCCCACGCTGTTGCCACTGCCTTCGACCTCTCCTCCTTCACCTCCGCCTGCCACCTCGGAGGTGCGTCAGAGGGAGTGTTCCAGGTCCCTCTGGTGGCCTGTGCCCTTCAGTGACCATCATCACTTCCAGCTCTCCTTTCCCCAGCCCTGCCACGTGCTTCTTCCTCAAGGCGCCACATGGCTGCCGCAGCGCCAGCCCTCACACCTGTCATCACTCAGCAGGAAAGAAAGATACAGGCTGTACTTCTGCCCTCTGGATGTCGTCCTGGGCCCTGCAAGAGGGTGTTCCAGGTCCCTTGGTGGCCTGTGCCCTTCAGTGACCCTCATCACTTCCAGCTCTCCTTTCCCCAGCCCTGCCACGTGCTTCTTCCTCAAGGCGCCACATGGCTGCCGCAGCGCCAGCCCTCACACCTGTCATCCCTCAGCGGGAAAGAAAGATACAGGCTGTACTTCTGCCCTCTGGATGTTGTCCTGGGCCCTGCATCCTCATCCTCCTCTGCTTGCATCCTCTGAGACCCTCTCTTGTCCTGTTCCACACCCGTGTCCTCACTTTACACTGTGTCCTAGACAGACTTCTTATAATGTTCCCGGCCACTGGAGAGGAACCATGCCAGCAACTGACTTTCCTTCTGCAGGTTCCACGGGGGCGCTGGCCCTCGGCCTTGCCAGGGAGTACCCACGCATGCAGGTGGCCGTGATGGACCTGCCTGAGGTCATAGAATTCGCCCCCAGCCTCCTCCCTGCTGGTCCGCACACAGCACGGGTCAGCTTCGTGCCAGGTAAGGTGGGATGCAGGTGTCCTGTCACCTGCTAGTGCCTCGCACACCTTTCCAGGTGTACAAGGTGTGGGGGAGGAGCGTGGATGTGTGTGTATGGGGGGGGTCGGCCTGTTTCCTGTGGGTTGCTGAAGCGTGTGTGTGTGTGTGTGTGGTGTAGATTGTGAATATGTCTCTATATATTATCTGTGTGTGTGTGTGTGTGTATGGTATAGATTGTGAATATGTCTCTATATATTATCTGTGTCTGTGTGTCTGTGTGTCTGTGTGTGTGTGTGTGTGTGTGTGTGTGGTGTAGATTGTGACTATGTCTCTATATATTATCTGTGTGTGTGTGTGTGTGTGTGTGTGTGTTGTAGCTTGTGAATATGTCTATATTATCTCTGTGTGTGTGTGTGTGTGATGTAGATTGTGAATATGTCTCTATATATTATCTGTGTGTGTGTGTGTGTGTGTGTGTTTGTGTGGTATAGATTGTGAATATGTCTCTATATATTATGTGTGTGTGTGTGTATGTGTGGTGTAGATTGTGAATATGTCTCTATATATTATCTGTGTGTGTGTGTGTGTGTGTGTGTGT